CATACAGAAGGCTCGATTGCCATTTGTCAAATTCAGATATCTGTGGCGCCACTGCGACATCCACCTGTCCTGTAAAACTTAATTTGGTATTATGATCTATTAGAATAACATGCAGCATGGATTCGACTGGATGACTGTGCACACTTGCAGACGTTTTTGTGTCCATGGATTCGCATTGCTATTGAGACCCCACCAGGTCGAATCAGCTACACAAGGCTTTCTAGCCTCTCAGTTTACGCTTCGTTTACTCTATACACGACGAATTCCTTCCATGGAAAATATTTACACACGATGATGGATTTTTTCAACAACTGAGACGTCGAAGAGGAAATGAGTGAAATTTTTTAGTTGTTTTTATCACGAATTGTCTGTAACCACTTTCCAGGCGTCAACGCTTGTCGAGTGCTGCTTGTAACTCATCACTTTTTTCGAGAAAAAAATAACGATTTCTCTCCGAAAAGAAGATAATTCCGGCTTCATCAAGGATCTACTATGTAAATCACGACAGGATTAAGTAGCAATAGCTGTATGCACCCCAAGAAGCAAGGGACTTTATTCAATTGATTGCGCTCGTCTTCACAAAGGAATTACCACAACACTTGTTTGAACATCTCTCATAAACTCCTGTCCTTATTCACAGGAAATATCATTGCAAATGATATCAGATCAAACTGTCAGAGAATAAATTAGAAATGACTTAAGTACAACGCAGTTGCTGCCACTCACCTTTACATCCAGGCTGATCGGCGCACTTTCATAACGGGCGATCATTTGCTTCTTAAACATAGTTGGGAACATCTGTTTCCCTCCTCCCTCGGGAGACCATGCTCCCGACAAGGAAGGGGCAGATTCTGTTGAAGTTGAACGTACGGTAACCGCTTTAGCAGCAAAGGAGGCTGCAGTGAGATGTGGAAAAGCAGTAGCAGCCGATGTTTGTGGTGTGGCATTCATATAGCTTGCGGATTCTTCAACCAAACTAGGCGATGGACGCGGAGATTTTCGGAAACGATCTCGCATGGATTCTTGTGATGTGGAATCTGGAATGAGGTACAATAAATGCACAACGTATCGCAATAAAATTAGTATGCTGATATAAATTGCCCCAAGCTACGTAATCTACTTCCATGGAGCATGGGTCATTGAATGCCAACCGATTGATCAACAGGAGAACTGGAGATTCATAAAATCTGTTTAGAGTCGATGATGCTCATGGTGACTACAGTTGTGCACAAAGGTCTTACAAAGTAAATGAAAGTTATACAACTCGAAGAGCGGGTTAAATGTCGAACCGTACAGAAAGTTCCATTGATGGGGCAGTAAGAGAAAGCAATAAACGATCATTACAAAAATATCAAAAGAAAAATCAATCGCATGTTGAATGATCAAATGGAAATCGATGAAAATGAAACTTAAATTTACAATCTCCTCAACTGAGAGATCACACAGGATTAAAAACCAATACACACATTGGGGACTCAACTTCCACATCAAAAATATCACAAACAAGAAATACTCAGCAGAAATAGAACTGTCTTTCAAATGGTCTGCAATATCGGATAATGCAGAAAAACCGTTATCCCAGCTCTAATAACAAAGAGTAAAGTTTGGGTTCTATCAAAAATCGAGGAGAGAAAAGTGAAATCACTGAAGACGAAAAAAACATCGTCATCATGCCCACCGATCAATAAAAGGCTTCTGGAAATAGCCGACTACCTTCGAGACTAATTCAAAACACAACCATCTGCCACCGAAATGACATAAACCCCATGGCAAAACCAGAAGTCAAAATCAATGACAAATTAAAAACTGAAACAATGGTATGGAAAAAACAAAGAAGAGCACTGGATGATGAGATTCAAATATCCGCTTTCACAAAATTGTGCGGACCACCCAATATACACGAGAAAGGTTGCGCACTGAGGTAAGTTGTATTCCCTCCAGTGACGACCACATACAAGCAGTGAAAGGACTGAAACCGGTCATCATACAACGTGAGCATAGCGGAGCCAACTGAACGCGTTTTTTGGTCAAGCCCAAAACTGCAAGCATACAATAACATAGGAGTAAAGTCTCCTTCGACATCACTGCAGTGTTCACTTCCATCAAATGGAATCTAGCAAGATCTACATTACGGTAGTTGATAAGTGAGTGGCTACAAAGCCAAACAATAGAGTCAGCTGAAATTTGCAACCAAGCACAGTTATGCATGCAAACACAATTCAAATTTGTAGATGAAACAGTCTACGAAACACCTAAGGAGTCACTAGTCGGATTGCTAATAGATGTAGTAATGGCCGAAGCAGAAACGATGCAGAAACGAAAGAACAAAATACTACCGAAAATCACTGCCTTGTCAACCAAACGAACATGTCCAGTTTTATTCATACTGCTTTTATCATGGATAATTGAATTGAACTAGTGAAAAAAAGATAAATTTGCTGGACTTGCAACAAAGAATCTGCAAAACATGACAACACTTGGAAACATAGATCTTACTAAACGCTTCACTGAACGTTTGTTTATAGATTATTGGCAATGAACTTGGAGAATTCATAAAATTTTTAACGACGAAACTCAAATGAGGATATTGGAACCATTTTCAAGCAGACAACAACTCAGTAAGCAACTGTTTGTTCCTGTGAATTGTTTGTGGATAAATTGTTTAACCCAGCTAACATGTGATCAAGTTTGTGTTTGCAATCCAGAGCGCTGACTTGAGAGCGCGGTTTACCTCATCTTGATTAATCCTCTGTCATATAATCATAGTAGAATATCAAACTTTTCTCGCGGGTGACGTACAATTGACAGCAATTCAACTTTTTATCCTCGTCAAGGGTGGAGAAAAGGTGTTTCAAACTGTGCAACACCACCAGTGTGACTGGGAAATAGACGGGGTTCTCTGTTCAATGTTACCTTACTCTTAAACCAACTTTATAAATCCTGTGCACCATGAATTCCGTAGATCGGAAAAAAGCCATATGGCCGATTTACTTTCGACCAAACGTCGTGTGAATTATAAAATTAGCTCCATGGAAAAAGCTTGGGGATTTCTCTGTTTGACTACTTTCACTGAAAACAAGTCGCATCGAAAATTAGGTATGCACGCCTACATAGAGTTCAAAACCTTTTTTCATGCGGTTCTCAGGAAAGATCAGGACCAGGGTTACCGGTATTCCTAGCTTATGCACGAAAAGTTGATCTAGCCTAAGTGATAAGCCTGCACAATGTAAACTGTGCCGTGGTAACTATACACGCACACAGTTTAACAGCTCAGCTCTGATAAAAGTATTGGTTGGCCTGTTGCGTACTTCGACCCCATTGCGCAACCGCGCACGTATCACGCATTATTTTATTCTAATGAGAATTTCTTAATACAAGTACTGAATGATTTTCTGATGCCCCATAGCACACACACACATTTAACAGTACGCACTGTCTCGCAGCTTATAGCCTCACTTGTGAGACATTTAAATGCACACACATACACACACACGTACAGTTTGCTGACTACTATTTTCGCATGACACACGTGTCACATAACCCAAGCAAGATATCACACTTCTATTGTGAGAAACGAGAAAGGCTAGAAAAGATACCAAAATTGTCGGAATAGCTTTTGTTTGTCTCGCAACGTGGAGTGTATGATATCACTTACAGGATAGTGACTATTTACAGAAACCACTTAAACCTCAGAACTGTGAATAAAATTTGTGCTTACCTCTCTTTATTGCTTGCAACACTCAGCCGCTTATAGATTGGACCAAATGGGAAGAGCCTAACGCGAACGGTATGTCCAAGTGCCCCAGAAAGGGTTCCTTTTCTCTACTCCGAGGTCTCAGTTTGACTCACTCCCCCCTGTGCTGAAATCGTGAAAAGTCCAGTTGTCTCGGTGGTATTCGAACCCACGCATGGACGCCGCCTACGCTTTTGTACAGTGCACGCTCTACCAGCTGAGATACGAAGCCACACCGATAGTACTGATTTTTTCAAATTCGAATTACCCATTGAACTTGCAGAGACCTATGACATCCACCAGGTAGCATATAACCTGGCTGCCACGACAAGTTTTCCTTAGAATTCCGGATATTGAACTATTCAAAATTTCGACATAAGCCCTCAATCTGTCAAAAAAAAATAAAGTAAATAACTCCACCCTTGTTTTTTCATCCTAACTCGACGAGCATCACCCATCGAGGAAATCTATCTGAAGACATACAAAACACATGCCCTAAATACTTTAATTAATTGCACAAATCATTCAAAGTTTCATTCTAATCTGGATTTGGGGTCGAACTATGGACAATAACAACCTTTGACAGCATCCTCTCGTTAAAACTCTGTATACGGTCGTCTAATTTGTATGGAGTATGTATTCACAAAAATACATTTGGATCCATCAAGGCGGTTCAAGACAAACACACAGAATTTGCTGAAAAAGAACAAGATAGATGCGAGGAAGAAATTGACCTACTCTATGTACTGGGGAGGCAGTCATTCATTCGGAGAAACCAATCGTACATATCCGTAAAAATGCATACGATATATTAAATCAATCGAATGACCATTAATCAAGGCGAGATAAACTCCTTGCGGCTTGCAATTTTTTGTCTGGGTACCGTTACATATGCACCTCTCAGTACGAAACGTGGTGATAGTACGGTTGTTGGTGGTGTATGTATGTATGTATGTATGTATGTATGTATGTATGTATGTATGTATGTATGTATGTCAGTATGTATGTATGTATGTATGTATGTATGTATGTATGTATGTATGTATGTATGTATGTATGCATGTATGTATGTATGTATATGTGTGCAGTATTGAATCTTATCAACAATCGTAGTCCGTTCCAAGGTTTACCCGAATTAGTATGCGGCTTTTTCCATCTACGTAAACAGTAAGATTACAATTTCTTATGATTAATAGGAGGCAAGTTATACCGTCCGACTAGCTCGGCACTGTCAGTATACTTACATATTTATCCTCCGTAGCTGGAAGTTAGTTTCGCGTACACACGGCTGAGATAGTTTTCATTCGGATACAATGAAATATGATGTATTAGTCGGTACGACTTCGTCTCTCCCCCTCCCCCACCTGACGCCAGTGAACCTCCTTAGAGCTGCCTTTTTTGATCGGATTGCTAATAAACCAAAGTTAAAGATACTATTTTATCAAGGTTTTTAGGGTGGCTTTTAATACGCGGGGAAACCAAGTGGCTGGTATACTAATTATGGAGAAACAACTTTATGTTTCAATTAACATAAGTCTGTGCGTGTTATACGCGCTATAGGTGAACTAAAATAGCAGAAAACAAGACACAGGACAGGATGTTCTACTGATTAACGTTTCAAAGTGAATACTTTAATGTTAGTATGCTACTGTGGTATAAAATCGAGTACTTGAATGATTATCATCAGTTTCACTGTGAATCAGATTCACATATAGACGCCATCTATATATGTATACGATGTACACTCTAACAAGTGAACTACAAGGCGAAATTGCAAGGTTAATGTAAATATAAATTAAAACTGAAATAGCGCAGACGGCTCTGACCTATTCACATTGAACAAACATCTCAGCTCCCAGACACAGAATTAGCATATAGCAATTTCTTCAGACAAGGTTTCCGTAGAATCCCACCCAGGCTCACGGTCTTTATACAATTAAGACATTTGTGAGACACAGTAAAGATGGATAACAGAGTGTGCGCGGTTTAGGTTATTTCTCTACCCCTAAATGTAGGAGAGAACGAAAAGATACGGATAAGAGCATGATTGTGGAGCGTAAACACACAGACATCTGAACCGTTGGCAGTGATGTGATGTCAGCACTGCGCTCGTGATTTAGTCAGGAGAACTGGAGAGCCTCTTAAAGGTATATAAATGATACTACTGTCGGTCGAACGAAAGGGTATTTGTCAAAGAGTATCAGTCAACAACATCGAACATGCATAACACATGGAAAGATTGGGAGTGTTCGGCGCTCTGTTGCAACCCACTCGACTAATAACTATTCAATGGATCTCCACATT